AAAAAAAAAAAAAAAAAACCAAAAAAAAAAAAAAACCCCACACAAAAGCATACAACCATCTGACCTGCCCAGAAAAAAATTGGAACAATTATTGTACCTAACTAACTGCAAGATTTCCAAGAAATACCGACTTCACTTTTTTGTACGACTACCCCAGCTGACCTTCAAAGCTTTTATTTAGGATTTTTATGCTTTAGTGCAGTATTCCTCAGAGGCACTAAAAAAACACTAAATATGTTGAGGAGGTCAAGAAACATGATACAAGGCTTTTCCTTCCCCATGGGTGGGGTTCAAATCTTGCTAATGTCAGTAGTGAGCCAAAGCTGTTGACATCAGGCAGCTGAGCCATGTGGAAAGAGCTACTATCCTCAGTCCAGTTTTTCCTGGACAGGTATTCCTACCTTCACAAGAACAACCAAACCCACACTCTGGCTGGCAAGTCTTAGGAATCAGAAGCAGCATGGATAAGGAATAACTTCCTCAGTCCTGAAGATGAACAAGAACTTTTAAGACAGTTCTGTTCAAGTAAAAGCTACCCCTTACAGCTAAGAAAAAGACAAGGAATTTCAATTCATAACTATATCGAGTCAGCACCTCCTGCAACAGTATACTGTCCTGAGCCTTGATCCCACAAACTTCTGAATGCACCTGAACATACCGTTTATCATATTTGCAGTCAACAGACCGAAGTGTTGCTCCTCTACAGTATAACAAAATCCAGAGTAAAGATGAATTGTGTAATTTGCACCACAACATACACACCATCTCACCAGAATAAATTGCAAGTACCCCCTCAAACCATAACTGCATTCTCTGGATTCATTTTTCTTTTTCATTTAGCTCAACAAAACCGATGGTTTTGTCAACTTTAACAGGAGTTAATTTACTTCTGGAAAGTTAACATTACACACAAACTTGAATTTCATCTTTACACTGCTCATCATATGACAGTGTAAGATCTGCATAACAAAGCCAGAAGACCAAAATGTTAAAAACATTAGGGGCTCCCAAGCCTTTTTCCCCTCATTCCAAAAGCATGTTTTATTTCTGAGTCAAATCAGTTTAAGTACAGTACAGACAATTCAAAAAGCAAAGCAAAATGAGTGTGAGGTTAAATCCTCGCCTATGGAAATACTCCACTTCTCCGTATATTTGAGCTTTTTAGGCACGAGAAGCAAAAAACAAAACCAAACCCACAGGAACCCCCTAAAGAAGCAGCTCTCAGCCACAAGCAATTTGCACAAAGCTGCTGGAACTGTAATCCCCCAAGCCCATCCCATCGTTATGTAACAGTGCCAAGCCAGGATTTTTCACCAGCCAGCTCAGAGTTACTGTTAGAAGGAAATGTCTCTTCTCACACACCAGCAGTAGAGAGGGTTAAAAAAAAAAAAAATCAACAAAACACAATAAAATCAAACCAAAAAAATCGCACACAGGCAAGCAGGGGAAAAAAATTAATCCAGAGAATAAATCCATGTTAAAGGCATTTCCTTTTCAGGGTCTTACATGGTATCCTAACTTAAAAGAACTTAACTAACTTGCTTTCTCAGGTTACACCTTGCCAGTGTTAGAATACCTGTTTTTTCTCTCTAAAATAAAAAGATTTCAACTACTTATATAGGTGCTCACAATGTACCTTTTTATTTAATTCTTCTTTATTAATTTAACACTGCGAGTCCGTTTCAGTTGTTCAAGAGGGTACAAATCACATCCTATACGATAGAAACATCAAAGTTATCTTTCCTTTATTACCACCGTCTTCTTGATTTCCTTAACATCCATATGAAGGCAGTGTGAAGTGCCTATGAGGCAGCAAAGAATAATCCTATTAACAATCAGTTTACTGTGTGCTACACTCTTCAGATGCTATTTTAAGACCTTAAAAGGATTTCAATATTTAATAGAGGCCTGAACAAGATCTTCAGATCTACACTGAAACACTGACATTCTGAGACAAACATTTAGCAGGGGCAGTGGACAACCAAGCAGCACCTATGTCCGTTTTCTTCAAGACCTGAGCTCAGTTTAATCAAGTTGATTTCTCTTTGAGTTGCATTATAAAAGTATTTAACTACACATACTGCTAAGTTTTCTTAGAAATAATGGTTTTAGATGTTTGAGACATTTACATGTGTGAAAAATGCAAAGAGCAATTCCTGACAAAACACATTTAGATGAGCTGAAAGCACTGAAGGTTTTGTAAATACTGAAATAATTCCTATTCATGACAAACACTGTCTTAGGCCAAAAGAAGTTCTGCCACAGCAAAGATCAGGACATTTGGCCATGTATTAGAGCCAAGCAGATTAAGGAAATTTAAAAAAATAAAATTAAGTTCTCCTAATAGGATGGCCATTTGTTGTTTCTACAAAAGAAAAGTACCAGCTAAACACAGGCTTTAAAGCCTACTCTTGGTGTGATGTAACAGACTGCAACTTAAATTGTAAATACTCCAGATATTACAAGGTAAAGGTGAATTTACAACTGATTTTCTAAAAAAATCTTACAATTATGTTTCTTACAATATCTGAGTATCTACAATTCCCTTTGGAGGGGCATAAAACGAACTAAGAGGGGAAAAAGGCATACGAAGGTAAATGTAAATATAAACACAAAACCGTAGGTAACACATCTTCCCAAATAATATTTACACTGAGTGCTTCACTCTGGCATACACTCATGTAAATACAAAAGTGCACATATTTCAAGGCCATTTCCATTTCTAGTTTCCCAGGATCTGGACACATGCATGCTGCACCTAGGATTTGTGCTATGTCCACATAGCATACGGGTTATAACTTAACCGGGTGAAATACACTAGAGCTGGGTACACTTGGCCGTGTGCCAAGTGCGGAAGGAAAGAAACAAACAAAAAGCAAACAAACAAAAAACCCAGACCACTAAATAAATACACGTGCACTTCCTACACACCGAGAAATGCACACGTGCAATTTACATCAGGCATCATCACCCCAGTAAATAAAACCTTGGTCTGTACTGCGGGGTACAACGTGTTGTTAACCCAAACTCTAATTTGTTTATACGGCCGAGGCTGGCAGCACACTCGTACCTCCGAAAGAGAAAAAACCATGGAGCCCATGCGTGTTTGTGCCGAGCACCCTCACGCAACATCTGCACGCACACGCGGGAGCACGGCCACGGTACGCCCGCTGGATAACTTCACATCCTAGCAGGCCGGGCCATCAGCTAGAGACGGCGATGCAGGAGGAGGAGAAGGAGGAGGAGAAGGAGGAGGAAGCAGCCTTCGCCGCCTCCCACAACGCCCGCGGCCCGCGCCCACGGCGCGCTCCCCCTCGCCCGGCATCCCCGCCGCGGGCGCCGCGGGGGCGGCCCTGAGGGAGCGGGGCACGGGGGAGCCGGGCGGCGCAACCGCTCCCCCCCAGCAGCGGCGCTCGGTGTGGGAGCGGAGCCCCGGCTGCTGGCGCGGGGAGGTTTCCAGGCATCCCTGCTGCATGCGGGGACCAGAACGGCAGTGACAAGCGGCGGCGGCGCAGCCTGCGGGGGGGGGGGGGGGGGGGTCCGGGGAGCGCGGACCGGGGGGG